GGTATTCACTGCCTCGCCATGAGAGGGGGCTATTACCATGCCCTGATGAGTGTGCCTTGCTCTGGGCAACGGAATAGGAGCAGAAATGTGAGCCCCTGCTCAGCAGAAGGTTTAAGAATCATCTCATGATTCAGTCATTTTTTTTGTTTCTTTCTACCGTAAGATCAGCAATGTCCCAGGAATTGGGTTGATCTTCAGCCTGGTCCTAGAAGGAGGAATGTCTTAGTCAGGCTTCTCTGGAGAAACAGAACCTATGAGAGAGAAAGAGAGAGAGATTTATTTACTGCAAGGAATTGGCTCACTCCATTGTACAGGGCTGGCAAGTCCAAAATTGGGCTGGAGGCCCCTGTAGGCTTGTGTCACAAGAGCTGTAGGTTAGGTGAGGGGGAAGAGTGATTTAAGAGTTCTGCCAAAATGTCTATTTATAGTCTGGAGGCAGAACACACCCTGGGGGAACTCCCGTTTGCTCTTAAGGCCTTCAACTGATTGAAGCTCACCCATATTATGGAAGGTAATCTGCTTTACTTAAGGCCAACTGATTTAATCACAGGTAACTGCTCCATAATAGCAGTTAGACTAGTGTTTGACCAAACCACTGGGCACCATAGCCCAGCCAAGCTGACACATAAAATGAACCATCACAAGGAAGATGTGGAGCAGGGCTGAGCTAACACGTTGAATGAGCATGACATAACTTTTTGTGGTTGTAAACCACGGTTTTGAGGTTATTTGTTGCCACAGCATAACTTGGTTTAAGCTGACTTATGCAAAAGACATTTGCTTTGTGTTATTAAAAAAAAAATTGTTGAGAAAGAAGGCCACACCCTGGACCATTTTTTTAAAAAGATGAGTTAATAGCACACCCACCGTGCAACATATCCTGGTCCCCACAGCAAGGGAAGGCAAGATATGTCTATTTTTAGACCAGAAAATTCAAGTACAAAGCTAAGCTCGTAGCTAAAAATCAACTAACATGAAATGAAAGCCAAATTCTTAAGAGAGAGATCTCCAACTCTATAGTCAGAAAAGCTGCCTGGATCATTTCTTAAATTTTGATAAGCTAGTGTCTATTAGAAATGAATGCTCACAGGGATGAAAAGTTTAAGGTTGACTGACTGTCATGCTCCGTGCTTACCACTAAAGATTTAATGATGCTTCTATTTTCACTGTTACTGTTTTTGAAAGTGATCTGGTTACAAAGTTTCATTGGCTTTATGTGATCTGCCTCTAACCCTAATTTTTCCATGAACTCTATTGTTTTTAGTTTGTGATTTTGCAGAATGCAAGGCTTTTCAGAAATGCATGTGGACAGAAAGTCTGGTCTACTTGACAACTATAAATTAGCAGATTGACATTCTATGTTTATTCAAATTACTTGAACTTCTGTGCCTCAGCTTCCTCATCTAAAAATGGGAATAATAATAGCACATATCTCATAGAACTGCTATGAGGATTAGGAGCAGATAGATGAAAAGTGCTTAGAACAGTGGCTGGTTCAGAGTAATTGCTGCCTAAGTGTTTGGTATTGTACATCAGGCTCTGTGAGCTTGGTAAATGTGACTCTGTCTATGAGAATGAATGCTATTGCATTGTGCCAACAAAAGCAACTTAAAAACAAGACCCTGAAGAGCGATTAATTTATCAAGGTATGTATTACTTTGTGGGGACCTCTCTGAGCAGCCAGAATCTTTCCTTAAGTAACAGCATGCACACCTGACTTGGCCATATGCCTTAACATTTGACACTACAAGTGCGAATTGTTGAAAAACTATCTCAAGTGCCTAATAAGAGTCTAGTACACAATCTCCACTCAACAAATGGTAGCCTTTGTCTCTCCTAAAATGCCACACATCTCTGAACTGCCAGCTAGAAAGCACAGATTGGGAAGCAAATGCTTATCAGCCTCAGGAAACTGTGCTGCTTGGTTAATTTTGACTGTACGAGAACCTGCAACAATCTAATTCCCACTGAGTTTCTGGATGGAAATAAATTCGACAGGAAACCATAGTCTTACCGACTGATAAAGTGCTTTGAAACCACGTAATGGAGTCTTGAGCTGGAAGGCAGAGGAGGTTATCAGCGACACTCCTTTTCTGTACGTCAAACTCTCTGCTTCAAGATGCAGCTCAGATGTCACCTCCTCTTTGCAGCTCCCCCGAACCCCCTCCGGTTGAGTTAGTCAGTCCCTCAGCTGTGTTCCTGTCACCTTCTTCATCTCATAAAAGTATGTTCCTACATCTGTCATTTAGCTCCTTCTGAGTTGTTGAACCCCATCAAGTTGATTTTCAATTCATAGCGACCCCATGTGACAGAGTAGAACAGCCCCATAGGGTTTCCTAGGCTGTAATCTTTATGAAAGTAACTCACCAGGTCTTTCTCTCACGGAGCCACTGGATGGGTTCGAATCGCCTACCTTTCAGTTAGCAGCCGAGTGCTTAACCACTGCTCCACCAGGGCTCCTAATAGCATCTTAGCGACTTGGCACATAGTAGGTGCTTACAAAATATTTGTTGTTGAATTAATGCAATCTGTACTCATTTCCTTCGTTTTCTTACCTAAGCCTGGAGCTAAGGTAGGTAAATCTTCAGAGCACTTCAAGGTGGCAGATATAAGCCAGGCCAAGACTAGGGGGAGGAGGCCCCCAGCCCTTCACACAGATAGCTCAAGAACGTGCTTATAAAACGTTGTGCTGTGAGGATTGGACGGCACCTCAAAGTATGTAGAGGACTAGGATATGTCCTTGTGCAAGATACTGCGACAGCCAACATTATGCATTTAACAAACATTTGTCAAGTGCCAACGCATGCCAGGCCATGAACAAGATTCAGTTCTTAGACTCAAGAGTTTTACAGGTGGGGAAGGGAGGGATGGGGGGGTGGTTATTGCTTTAAAAAAAAAGTAAATAAATAAAACTTCCATAAACCTAATCATCTACAATCAAATTGTAAAAGAAAAAGAATCTTACAGGCCTACACGGAAACAGACCTGTACACAGGTAACAACAGACCACGTGACCGGTGCTGGGACAGGAGGGAGCACAGGACACCACGGGAAAGAACATGGCAGAGAGGACCTTGAACACATTGCAGGAGGGGTGGTGTCAATGCTGAGATCCGACTGTGGAACAAGAGTCACCAGTTCTCTCGGACAGAAAGAACAAGAGATCACTTCCTCTTTCTCTCAGGAGGGGCGCCGTTTTGGACATAACCGGCAAGAGCATCTCCACTGTCATCCTTGAGGATGTGGGCTGACTCCCAGGCCCACCATGGTCTTCCTGCCACTGGGTGCATCTGGAGGCACCTGGAATATACTTCCAGCATCAGGCAGGGCTCTGTCCTGTCCCAGCAACTACTAGAGACACTGCCTGACCCTCCTGCAACCACTAGCAATGGGACCCGCAGGATTCAGACCCTCTATTCCCCTTGCTCAACTCCATCACCTCACCTCTCCCTGGAAGCAGAAGAGGCCTAAGACATGTAGACACAAACACAGCAGTGGTTCTACTTCGGCGTGAACAAAATCCACTTTAAAGAAGCAGTAAGAATTTCCACTGAAAATTTTATTATTACTGAAAGCATTTTGAATGGAGCAAAGAATTTAACAAAATATATAAAAATACATATTCAAAAAAAAAAAGTGGAAAAAAAAAAAAAACCATAAGTGAAGAACAGATTTACAGAGTTGCTTGTCTGATCATCCAGAAAAGACATCCACATTTATTTAATATTAAACTGCATTTGGGCAAGACTAGCCTCTGGGCAAGGAGACCTGAGCAGCCACAACACTGCTTAGACTCTGAAGAATAGAAGAAATGCTCAACATGCAGGGAAAGGCTGCAGGAGGGCCAGCAAGACAGCCTTGCCAGCAAGACAGGGCCAGCAGCAGAGCTGGGTGGGCTGGGCAGGGGCCAGGCATCAGGGAGCAGGAATCAGTAGGAACAAGCATGGGCTGGGAAGGGACGGGGGGCACGTCAGCTATTCTGGCCTTGAGAGCAGCCACCATGACACGAGCATCCTGGCCCACTCACAGTGAAGGGCCTGTGTATGTGTACATGCACATGTGTGTAAATTTCAGATCAGCTCATCTTTAATTCACTAAACTAAGAGTGGGGTTGGGTGGGAGTCATCTGTATGTCTACAATCATATCAGGGAGGCCAGAAAGACGAAGCCCGAACCCATCGAAGCACTTCTCCAAATTGAGCTTGATTCAGCTCCCACTGCAGTCCCTGGGTGGTACAAAGGGTTAATGTACTCAGCTGCTAACTGAAAGGTTAGAGGTTCAAGTTCACCCAGAGGCACCTCGGAAGAAAGTCCTGGCTATCTACTTCTGAAAAAGCAGTCATTGAAAACCCTATGGAGCACATTTCTACTCTGACACACATGGGGTCACCATGAGTCAGGGTCAACTTGATGGCAACTGGTGGTGGTCTAAGATCCCACTTGGCTGGGAGGCCGACTGCCAGAGCTCCTGGGAGAACAAGAGGATGAGGCCTGGGCCCTGGCCATGGAGCTCCCACTCTAACACAGGAGAGAGAGAGCGCGCTCGGGTAGGGTACCACGTGGCCCATGATTGGCTGTGGAATAGAGACAAGATTGTTCAAGTATTAAAAAGCAAAGATATCACCTTGAAGACTAAGGTGCGCCTGATCCAAGCCATGGTGTTTTCAATCGCCTCATATGCATGTGAAACCTTGACAATTAATAAGGAAGACCAAAGAAGAATTGATGCCTCTGAATTATGATTGGCAAAGAATATTGAATATACCACAGACTGCCGGAAGAATGTACAAATCTGTCTTGGAAGAAGTGAAGCCAGAATGCTCCTTAGAAACAAGGATGGTGAAACTTTGTCTCACATACTTTGACATGTTATCAGGAGGGACCAATCCCTGGAGAAAGACATCATGCTTGGTAAAGTGGAGGGTCAGCGAAATAGAGAAAGACCCTCAATGAGATAGATCGACACAGTGGCTGCAACCATGGGCTCAAGCATAGCAGTGATTGTGAGGATGGTGCAGGACCGGGCAGTGTTTCGCTCTGTTGTACGCAGGGCTGCCGTGAGTTGGAACAGGCTTCATGGCACCTGACAACAACAACATGCGGGAGATCAGGAAAGGGTTTTAGAAATAACTGGGATCTGAGCTGGGCCTTGAGCGACCGGTAGGGTCATGACAGGCAGAAAGGGAAAGTATGTGCGCATTCCAAACGGAATGGAGAACACAAACGTCCCTCGAGAGAGTGTGCAGAGAGAGCCCGAGTGGCCTTGCTGGAAGTGTCTAGAAGGTACAGGGAAGCTGTGGAGATGAGGCTGGAAGGTGAGCTGGAGACCAGGCCAGTGTGGGTCCTGAAGCAAGAAATTTGCACTTAAGTTGGTTAGATTAATAGAGAGTCCTTCACTTACTCATTCTTTAATTCATTCGCCAACAATGTATTGAGTGCAAACCATCTGCCAGGTGCTCCCTAGGTGAGTGGGCAGGGTCCTGCCCTCCTGAAGCCGGCTTGGCTTCTGTGGAGGGTTCTGTGGCGGGGGTGCTTCATGCTCAGTGCTGTGCTTCAGAGACCTCCCGTCGGCTGCAGGGCAAGTCAGAAGCTGCTGCCTGGTCCAGGGGGAGGGCCAGGCTCTGAACAAGGGCATGGCAGTAGGCGGGGTCACTTCACAGGACAGAGCAATTGGCAGGGTCAGTCATGAATGAGAACCCCACTCACGGACAGGCCAAATCCTCCAGCAGTGGACACAACAGAAGAAACATCCCCCATCAATGTTTGGGATGAAAGAATAGGAAAACGGGACTTGGCGAGGAGAGAGGAGGCAGGGAGGCAGGGGAGGGGCCCCCTTAGCCTTCCTGACCCCAGCCTGTAGCAGGCCCCCGTCACCGGCCAGGGTGGTCAGGGGACCCACGCCCGGAGCTCCTCGGGTCTTCGTGCCGGTAGCTGTCCTCCTCATCGTGCTCTCTGGAAAGCTCTGTCATCTCCTCTGGTGGCTCCCTGTAGATCTCCCGTCTCCTGTGGGGCAGGGAGGCAGAGAGGACGGGTTGCTTCCCATGGGTCCCCACGCTAGCTAGGCCTAGTTGGGAAGAGCGGCCACCAGACCTGCTTTCCCCCACCTCATTAGCTGCAAAAGGACAGGGTACTGAGGGTTGGGCTCACATGACAGGAAGCTGTCATGCACGTGTTCCACTCATGAGTTAAGGGAACAGTCTGGCTCATGAGACAAGGAGGCACTGGTCTCGTGACAATCTCCACCCTGAGGTCAGAGATGGGAACAATATGGGCCTTGGAGTCAAGTCCCGGGACTGCACTGCAAGCTTTGTTCTCCAGAAGTCACTGCCCTTTGCTCAGCTATAAAATGGAGGTGATAAAAATCACACCTATCCCCAGGGTGCTGTGAGTGGAGGAGGCGGTGAGGACAGGCTACCCGCCCAGACACTCACGGCCTCGCATCCTCCTTCTCCTTGGTCTTGCCTTTGCTCTGGCAGAAGCAGCAGTAGACGATGATACCAATGATGACGAGGGCAGCAACCACACCTCCCGCGATGCCCGCGTACAAGACCACGTTCATGGAGGCTGCAGGGGGACAGAGCAGCTACACCACCCAAGCCGGGGCAGAGTAACAGTAAGCACGGTATGCATCAGCTTGCACTGAGCAAGGTACTCACAGGCCAAACTGTATTTACTTGCTAATCTGTGGCGAGCAACTTCACATGGGCTTTCACCATATCTTTGATGTGGTGGGGGACAGGTGAAATTGTGCACTGCAGACTGCTGGGAAGGCACAATTGGGCCTGTGTGTACCTTACTTATTGGGTAATCTGGCTGCCCCCAACCCTCACTCCTGACAGCATCCGGGCGCCAGAGTAGAGGATCAAGGCTGAGATGAGAAACCACGGTAGCTGGCGCTTGTTGCTGGGAGGTCCTTCCCTTCCAGCTCTGGGCTGGCCTCACCTCCTCCCAGCCCATGGAGCAGCAGTTGCGAGCTTCTGGCAGCACTCGTTAAAGGCATGTTCTTGCAGGACCGGGACCAGACACGGCTGGGAACTGCTCTTGAGGTGCAGACAAGGATTTTTGGGCTACCCAACTCCTGCCCCAGCTTCTCCCTGAGCTAGCTGTGGTACCCCATCCCAGGAGGGTGGGTTCCAGACTCCACAGCAGCTGGCTCTGGGCTCTTCCCCCTGGCTCCCTGAGTGGCCCTTAGAGCAGACAGGACGGAAGCAGGCTGAAGAAGTCAGTCCTAGGCTGTACTTCCAAAGTACCAACGGAACCAGGCTGGCCTCAAGGTAAGCAGAGGCTGGGACAAGAGCCGTCTTGCCTGGGTCACTGCAGCCACTTTAGGGGTGGCCCTAAAGAGGCTCCCCGAGTCATCTCTACGGGGTCGCAGCTGGCTCTTCTGGTCTTTGGTGCCCTCCCTCGTTTTGTACCTCCCTCTGTCCCTCCCCAAGCTGCTCTTACGAGGTCGGACAGCCACCGTGATGTTGCAGGACGACGTCCCCATCTCATTGCTGGAGGTGCAGATGTAGTAACCCGACGTGTCTGTGGAGATGTTCTTCAGAAGGAAGGTCTGTCCTGTGACTGGGAAAGAAGAATAGACAGAGGGAGGAGATGGGGAGTGTGGATGAGCCCCAACTGGTTTCCGAGGCCGTGCCTCAGAGTTCCAGAGGCCTGGATTTGAAGAACAGGTCCCCCATTCACCAGTTGTATGACCTTGGACACGTTAATTCACCTCCCTGAGCCTCGGTTAACTCATTTGTAAAAACCAAAAAAACCAAACCCATTGCCATCGAGTTGATTCCGACTCATAGCAACCCTAACAGGACAGAGTAGAACTGCCCCATAGGTTTCCAAGGAGCAGCTGGTAGATTCAAACTGCCAGCCTTTTGGTTTGCAGCCTAGCTCTTAACCACTGCACCACCAGGGATCCTCAGTTGTAAGACAGGGTAATAATACCCACCATAAGATTACTGAAGGTATTAAATGAGATATCATATGTAAAGCTCTTAAACAGAGTGCTTGGAACTTAAGATCTTAGGCATGGATGATTCTTATTAAAGCCTGCTAGCTGGAGGCCTTTTTGCAAAAATTAAAAAAATTATCTGCAGTTATAACCATCATTGGAGCTCTGGTGGCGCAGCAGTTAAGAGCTTAGCTGCTAACCCAAAGATCTGCAGTTCGAATCCACCAGCCGCTCCTTGGAAACCCTACGGGGCAGTTCTACTCTGTCCTGTAGGGTCGCTATGATTCAGAACCGACTTGACAGCAGTGTTTTTTTTTTTAAATAACCATCAGTGGCACCTGCTCACAACCCCCTTCCTCCACCACAGACACACACGTGCACACACACACACACACACTCCCTTCAGGGGCACCAGGATAGAGTACAAATAGCTGGGAGTTAGGAGACACACGTACTACCACCGAACCCCCCGAACCTCAGTCTCATCTGGAGAAAATGTCCACTTCTGGGGCTTTAGGGACAATTAAACCAGCAGGACACACAATTCTCAGGGGTTTAGAATTCAACCAAGCACCCTGGGTTTGAAACGTGGCTCTGCCACTTACTAATTTTGTGACTTAGGGCAAGTAACTCAGCTTTATCGAACCTCAGTTTCATCTATAGATGTAAATAATAATAGTACCTGCCTCACAGGGTAATCGTGAGCATAAAATGAGACAATAATGACGCTAAGTCCACAACAGGATGCAGGTGTGTAGTGTGTGTTCAGAGAACATAATATACATTATATATCACATGAAAATGCTTTATAAATTAGAAGATACTACTATTACCACTTTCATGATCTTCAGAAACTGAATTCCGAGCGTGGACTCATGTGGAGGAAGGCTTAGGAAATGAAGAACTCTGGCCCCTGGATTTCTGTGATGTATGTGTGCGCGTGTGTGTAGACTTTTCCTCTTCATCTGTCTCACCACTTCCGCAAGCCATTTAACGTCCTTGAGTGACAACTACCGCATCTGGAAAGTGGGAGTGAAAACACCCCATCTCCTGAATTCAGGGGAATGGACCAGATGCCCTCATGAGAAACTGTCTGCTAAATTTACGATCCTGTGAATTCCTCCACCTTGAAAAGGAGAGCTTTATGCTTACACATATTTATGTGTCCTGTGCTCAAAGATGCTTCATCATAGCTCTGCTGTATTGAGAGAAAATTTAGAGACCACTGTCTTCTAATTTGTTTACCTGCAGAGCCAGCCTTGTACAATGCTTGCTGCCACCAGGTGGTTGTGATTAGGGGCCGTCATGTCCATTTCGACTCACAGCGACACACATGACAGAGTAGAACTGTCCCATAGGTTTTCTAGGCTGTAATCTTTACGGGAGCAGATCTCCAGGTTTTCCTTCTGTGAGGCAGCTGGGTGGGCTCCAACTGCCAACCTTTTGGTTAACAGCCAAGCGCTTAACCCCTGTGCCACCAACCAGAGGAGTCCTTCTAAATTGCAGATAGGGTCCCGTCACTACCCTGTTGAGGCATTTCAGAGGCTGCCCATGATTTTCAGTGTGAAGGCCAAGCTTCTCTATATGGTCACAGAGTTAGAGATCTGGCTCTGGCAACCACTCCAGCTTCATTTCTTGCCAGCTCCCCCTGGGGCCCAATGGGCAAAACCAGGTGAGCAGCCTTCTCCCCCTTGAAAGACTATACCTCGGTGTGGATTTTCCTCAACTGAAGGTGCTGTTCAGTATACTTCCTCAAATATTATGTCCTCTGATCCATCCAACAATCTTGTATGGCAGGTGGAACATATATTTCAATCTCCAAGTTCATAGAGGTAACTACAGGCTTAACAAATTTAAGTGACTTCCCTAGGGTCGTAAAGTTAAGAAATGGCAAAACTAGGACAAAATCCAGTTTTAGTCTAGAACTCCCTGGAGCAGCTGACTACTTTCTGAAAAATATATATTTTTTTATATTATAAAAGTAATGCATGCTCATTATAAAAATTTATATATTACATAAAACTACTATTTAAATTCAATCTCTATGCTGAACAAATAATCCAAGAAGCTGGGCTATATGAAGAAGAATGGAGCATCAGGACTGGAGGAAGACTCATTAACAACCTGCGTTATGCAGACGACACAAGCTTGCTGAAAGTGAAGAGGACTTGAGGCACTTACTGATGAAGACCAAACACTACCATCTTCAGTATGGATTACAGCTCAACATAAACAAAACAAAAGTCCTCACAACTGGACCAATAAGCAACATCATGATAAGTGGAGAAAAGACTGAAGTTGGCAAGGATTTCATTTTACTTAGATCCACAATTGGCACCCATGGAAGCAGCAGTCGGGAAATCAAAAGACACATTGTATTGGGCAAATCTGCTGCAAAAGACCTCCTTGAAGTGTTGAAAAGCAAAGATGTTACTTTAAGGACTAAGGTGCACCTGACCCAAGCCATGGTGTTTTCAGTTACCTGAGAATGCATGCAAAAGCTGGACAATGAATAAGAAAGATCAAAGAAGAACTGATGCCTTTGAATTATGGTGTTGGCAAAGAATATTGAATATACCACGGAATTCCAGAAGAATGAACAAATCTGTCTTGGAAGAAGTTCAGCCAGAATGCTCATTAGAAGCAAGGATGGTGAGACTTAGTCTCAAGTATTTTGTACATTTTATCAGGAGAGATCAATCCCTGGAGAAGGACATCGTGCTTGGTAAAGTAGAGGGTCAGCAAAAAAGAGGAAGACCCTCAACGAGATAGACTGACACAGTGACTGCAACAAGGGGCTCAAGCAAAACAATGATTGTGAGGATGGTGCAGGACCAGGCAGTGTTTCGCTCCATTGTACATAGGGTTACTATGAGTCAGAACTGACTCAACAGCACCTAACAACAACATTATTTAAATTCTATTCAATCCAGAAAATCTTCATAAACTGATCACAGCTATAAACTAGATAAACAAGGTGCTTGCCCTCTTGTAGTTTACAGTCTGTAAGGGAAAGCAGACATGAAACAATTGCGATACAAAGGTGAATACAGTTCAAAACAGAAGTGCTATTTGAGCTTACAGCAAGGGAATTCAGCCTCATGCAAAGGGTCAGGGAAGGCCTCTATAAAGAAGAGACAATAAAATAAAGATTGTTCATAATCAACACCACCTAGAAATAATAGTGCTTTGATTTGGGGTTATTTTCTTCTAGTCTTTTCACATATACTTTCTTCAGATACTTCCCCTGAAACCCAGGGTACTGCTCTCTGGATGCCCATTCTCTGTAAATGCTCCCTCTGCCAGAATTCCATACCTCAATGTGTTTTCTAGACTATTACTTATGTGTGATATTAATGTGTTACTAAAAAAGGGATCCGTGAACAAAGGAGTTTAGAAATCATTGAGCTAAGTTTAAATGAGTTCTTCAATGTCAGAACTCTTATAAGAGTTTTTTTTTAACATACACTTAATAATTTTATTTATTTTTTACTCTCAAAGTCATGTTCATTCAGTAGATATACGTTAAGTGTCTACTCTATACCAGGTGGTGGGGGAAAGTTATAGTTGAGGGCATACTTTCTGGAATCCCTGGGCTGACTTCCTTAATAGTCCACCTCAAGTCTACCCATCTGTCCTTCAGGCACACTTACTGGCCAGGTGAATGCTTGATCCCCAAGTCCTCAGCTCCCAACTCTTCCCACTCACTCTCTCAGGGCCCCACAGGTGGATGTTTAAATCCTATGTATTCAAAAAAGGCAGTCAATTAAAAAATAATCCATCACACCTCAGTTAACAGTCAAGACCAATGGAGAGTTCACTAAATGAATTATGAAGAACATTTCTTACTTTCATTACTTAGGACTGAGTCTTGTTCCTACTTGACTGATGAATTTGAAGTTGTTATTAATATTATTTGCTAACGGACAATGGGAATCTCTAAGACAGGGCTATGGTATTAATGATCTCATTTTCTAAACTAATTGGATGACAAGATTTTTATTTTTAAGAGGCATCTTGAAGGAGCACACTTTGGGAAATGCTCCCGTAACTATCTGACGCTGGACGTGCTTAGGGGACCTGTAGCTCTTATCAGAGTCCCACTACTTTAGTACATGAATTCAGTCTATGTTTTAGGCCATTGAAAACTCTATGGAGCATATTTCTACTCTAACACACTTGGGGTCACCATGAGTTGCAATCAACTTGATGGCAATTTGTTTTATTAGGTTTATGTAGCACATTGCAGATGGACCCAAGATGGAAGGCTTTGGATTGCCTCAGAACCTCTTCAGACATCAAAGCCCATTGGAGCTCTAGACCATGTTCACGGTTGGTGAGTAAGCACTATCCTTCCTTAGCTCCCTGAAGCAAACAGTGAACACTAGGAGCTGCTCTGGGATGAACCAGCACATATCATGTGCCACAGGACCAAGTCCCCTTTTCCTCTTGTAAAGTTCCTTAAAGTTGGCTTAAATGAACACTACCACTGCAGTGGCGACACCTTGTGGTGAAGGAGGGGAACACACAGGACTGTCAGCTCCCACCTTCCCTCTGATCCAGCTGGGGGTTCTCCCTCCAGAAAAGCTTTAGCCTCCCCAAGACATTGGTGCCAAATTGACAAGATTTAACTTTGCCGCCCCCTACCCTGATCCCATGGCTCCTCAACAAGTTTGAGTTGCCACTTCTCACCCAGGCCCTCAAGATCCTCTCCGGTGCTATGAGCAGGGCCGTTCAGAACCTAGCCCACCCTTCGAAATCTCCTCCCCTAAAGGGTACCAGCCCCTAGAATTCCTCTTCTTCCTTGTCTGATATCCAGATTCCTACTCCTTCAGTGCATGAAGCTCGGCTGACTGGGACACAGTTTACCAACTATCACACGTGTGATCCCATGTTATCCTCTTCACAGCCTTCAGGAAGGTGGTACTATCTTCATCCTAGTTTTTCAGATGAGGATACTAAGGGTCAGAGAGGCTGAGTGACTTACAGCTGGAAAGTGGAGAAGCCAGGACTCGGCTCCCTGTTTAAGGGATTCCAGGTTCCCTGTTCTTTTCACTGCTAGCCTGCTTCCACTCACTGCTAAGTCAAAGGAATAAGTCTGTAATGGTGGAAATTCTGTCTTCAAATGTAGGAGGGTGGAGGAACACTCTCCAAATCATCCAGTGTGGACTGGAATGTTTTAAAAGTCAGAAACAGGTAGGGACTGACCCAGAGAGGAAAAACACTTTAATAAATTCTCTAGGTCTCTGTGAGGCAGGGTGGAGATGAGAGGCTTTGAGAAATCCACCGAGCACCATCCAGATGCAAGATTGGGCTGTTATTACCATTATCCACATTCTTTTCTGCCACCCCCAGGTCCCAATTCTGACCCTAAGTAAATCTTAACTTGAGGCAGCCTTTCCAAAGTAAATAAGCAAATCTCCCTTGAGGCCACTTTCACATCCTCAGGGAATCCCTTCAGAATTACTGAAGAACTAAGTCTTGGCTTCTGGCAATCTTAGGAGTTTTTCCTGATGGAGTCAAGAGAGGCTTATCTGAAATGCCCGTTTGTGTTGTTCCTGCTGTAAATCCCCACAGAAGGTGCCTGTGAGTTAGAGAGAAAAGGCCAGCGTCCCTAACCTGATGCACAGGCCCCTCATGATCTCTGACCCCTGCTTTTCTTACCTAATGTCTCCCCATCATTCCTGCATGCTCACCTTACCCCTCAGCTACACCAAATACTCATGGCTCCCATGCTATTATTCTCCATACTTAGCCATCACATCCTTCAGAGCCCAGCTCAAAGAATAGCATTTGAGTACTCACTCTCTACCAGGCACTGATCTCAGAGGTTTACAGGTATTTTTATTTAATCCTCGTAACAACCTGTGCAGTAAATACCAATATTTTACAGATGAAGAAACCAAGGCACAGAAAAGTAGCTTGCCAAGGTCTCACAGCTAACAAAGGGCAGAGCCAGGATTCAAGCCCAGGACATGCTTCTAACCAGCATGCTATACTGCCTGCTCCAGTGCTGCCTATTCTGAGAAACTTCTTTGATCCTGTCATGGATTGAATTGTGTCCCCCCAAAAAAGTCTGTCAACTTGGCTCAGTCATGATTCCCAGTGTTGTGTCACTGTGTACCATTTTATAATCTGATGTGATTTCCTTACGTGTTGTAAACTCTATCACTGTGACATAATAAGATGGATTAGCGGCAGTTATACTGATGAGGTCTACAGGATTGGATAGTGTCTTGGGCCAATCTCTTTTGAGATATGGAAGACAGAAGTGAGCAGAGACACATGGGAACCTCATACCACCAAGAAAGCAGCGCCAGGAGCAGAGTGTGTCTGTGTCGTTTGGACCTGATGTTCCTGTGCAGAGAAGCTCCCAGACCAAAGAAAGACTGATGACACGGACCTACCTTCCTCCAGAGCCGACAGAGAAAGCGTTCCCTGAATTTGGACTTTGTAGCCTACTGGACTATAAGAGAATAAACCTCTTTATTAAAGCCATCCACTTGTGGTATTTCTGTTACAGCAGCACTAGATGACTAAGACAGATCCCTTAAGCATCCTCTGTGCTACAACATCACTGAGTATAGAACCATCATTGCATTTATCATCTTGTAACCTTCAGCTTTGGGTCCCTGGATATACACCTTGCTGGAAGGGAGGTCAGACACAATCAGTGTCCATGGCAGACCTTCTGTGACCGTCTTTGGAGTCACTGGGTTATTCACAGGCCAGAGAGTGAGCGGCCACAGAGCCAGAAGAACACTACCAGGTGGTTTCAGCAAAACTCCAGACACACTCAGTAAAAATCTGCCAACCAGAAGTATGTCAACAAAACAGAAAGCTTGTTGAAATCCACATTGCAACTTCTATTTTGCATTAGAGCAAGTGGATTCTATTCATTCTTTTTCATTTTTGAGAAGTTCTCGCTTTGTTCCCCCAAACAAGTGAAAGGTAGTGTGACAAAGTTCATTGTCGTTTGACTGGATGCCCAATCTGTGCACACATCTGGCCGCGCTTACCCATGACACCAAAAGTTCTTCCGTCCCCGTTGTACCCCATCTTCTCGGAACAGTTGTTGACACCCCAGGCTCCACTTTTTACCTCCTGCTTCCTTTAAACCCACAATGAACTGAAAGTCCTCCAGATGTCAAATCTGATGGATGCCTTTCTAGATCTTCAGGAACACTGGGTGCAGCTGGCCAGGCAGCCAGTGGGATGCAGGGGCCCAGGGATGCTGCTAGGGTATTCCCGTACCAGTTGGCCCCACAGGAGGATATTTATATAGCGCCCCCCCCCTTTTCTTTTTAGTTTGTTTCCTGACCCAAAAGGTCAAATACCAAGCTGCCCAGTACAAAACCAGTCACCTGGCAACGGTAGCTGAACCTACTATCCCCTTCCCTGAGAACGTGGGACCTTCACAACAGACTTGCTGGTGTCATTGAGTGTGGCCATAAAGCGGTGGTGTGTTTGGGGAGGTGGGGTCAGTGGAGTCTGAGATGCACTGGCCTGGACCCGGAATGGGAACAGGAAATCCCCTGCTCTTGGGTAGAGCCACAGAGTTAGACTTGTGGCCTTGTATACTTTGGGACGTAATCATCAACAAAATAAAAATCCCATCCGGTGCCTTGCATAGAGTGGTTAAAATATCTGCTTAGCCAAGAGAAGGGAGTTATAGGGCATAAAGAAAACAACAGTTAACATTTATTATGTGCTTCTTATTACTATGTACAAGGAGCCCCAGTAGCGCAGTGGTTAAAGCACTCGACTGCTAACAGGAGGTAGCGGTTTGAACTCACCAGCAGCTCCGTGGGAGAAAGATGTGGCAGTCTGCTTCCATAAAGATTACAGCCTTAGAAACCCTATGGGGCAGTTCTAGTCAGTCCTATGAGGTCACTATGAGTCAGAATTGACTCCAGGGCAAGGGGTTTGGTTTTGGGTTTATTATTACGTACTGTGCTAAGTGCTTTACATGAATCATGTTTACTTCTCACAACTTATGAGGTAGGTATTATTATTATTAACCCCCTTCCACAAAAGAGACAAAGATGCTTAGAAAAATGAACCAAGACATTACGGTGGCAGCTGCGGGCTGGGAGGGCTGACTTTGGGGAAACTAATTGGTCAGCCCCAGGGTCTGGGAACTCTAGCCAATCAGCTGCACCTTGAAGCAGGGGATCCCGCCTTCCTGCTGAGCTCTGTTACCTGGTAGGGGCAGGGACCGCTCCTGGTTCAGGACGTTGTAGCTCTTCCAGCTGTACGTAGGGGCCGGGGAGCCCTCCTGTGACTGGCAGGTCAGCTCGATGTTGTTCCCGATCACAGTCTCTCCATTGATGCCGCACTCTGGCTTGGACGGTGGCACTGGGTAAGGGAGGGGTCAAAGAGAAGGCATGAATACTTCTACACACACACACACACACACACACACACACACACACACACACTCTGCCTTGCTCGTTCACAGCCAGAAAAATTCATAGCTTAGTGGTGAGATGTGAGGCTGAAAGATCAATCCACCCCCAAAATATCTCCCCAGTGGCCTGTCACCATCACAAAGAGTCATCACATGTGGAAAGCATCCTGGACGGGCAACCAGCTTTACAAGGTGTGGTTTAGCACCAAGGGGACATCGCCCTTATAAAGGTGGGGATACTGAGGCCCAGAGAGGAGATTGCTCAAGCATCCTGGCAGAGCTACAACTAGAACCAGAGCTCTCTCCACCAACCTATATCAGCTCCTTCTGCCACTGACTTATCTGTGTCATTGTAGGTACAGGCAGTCCCCGGGTTAGAAACTTCCAACTTACATACAGCCCATAGTTACAAACTAATCCCCATATTATATTAAAAATTTGAGGTACATACAAGGATTTGTAATAACAAACGGGCACTACTTTGCAATGTGCTTCAAAACATTATTATTATTACTGTATTATTATGTTAAAGGTATTTTAATGTATCGAGAAGTGTTTCTTTAATTATTTTTATGCATAGAAAGGTACACTACTGTATATATACTAAGACAAACATTTGGCTACTGACGTTAGATATGAACCTACCTAACTGTTCCGGCTTATGTACAAATTTGACTTAAAGACAGACTTAGGAATGGAACTAGTTTGTAATCCAGGGACTTCCAGTAAATCCTTCAATTTCTCTGGGCCTCAATGTTCCCATCTGTAAAATGAGGGGGCAACAAGCTTGTTCTGTAAAGGGCCAGAGAGTACATATTTTAGTCTTTGTGGTCACCTATGACTCTGTCACTGTTGTTGCTTCTCTTTCTCCTCCTCCTTTTTAAATAACCCTTTAGAAACGTAAAAACTATTTTTGGCTTGCAAGCCATACTAAAACAGACTACAGGCTGGATTTGGCTGTAGTTTGCCCACCCCTTGGTTAAATGATCTCGTTCTTGTTGTTGGGTGCCATCCAGTTGATTCCGACTCATAGCTACCCTATGTGACAGAGTAGAACTGCCCCCATAGAGTTTCCAAGGCTATAAATCTTTACGGAAGCAGATTGCCACATCTTTCCCCCAAGGAGCGTGTGGTGGGTTCAAACCATTGACCCTTCAGTTAGCAGCCAAGGGCTTAACCACTGCACCACCAGGGCTCCTTATGATAAGTATAAAACAAAAACAAAAAACCCGATTGCCATTTAGTTGAATTCTGACTCATAGCGACCCTATAGGATAGAGTAGCACTGCCCCATAGGATTTCCAGGGAGCAACTGGTGGATTCAAACTGCCAACCTTTTGGTTAGCACTATAGGCACCCTCAATTTCTCCTAAAAAAAAAAAGAATTTGCTAAAGCATTAAAGTCATTGCTATTTATTTCTCCCACACAGAGCCGCTGGGTGGGTTCAAACCACCAACATTTCGGTTGTGCCACCAGGGCTCCTTAAATGATCTCTAAAGCCCTCCAACTCTAACTTCTTAGGAATGTTCCCTCTGGGTTCAGCAATACCCTCTTCCTGTGCTTTGCTGATAAAATGCAATTGCCTTGAGTGCCTGGGTGACAGGAGGGACCCTTGATAGCAGCAGAGCTGCGTGCTGGGTGGAGAATGGGGACTGAAGGGATAGTAAGGGGCAGATGGCAGAGATAAGGAAAGGAAAAGAAAGCACCCAGAAAGGAGGCTGCAAAAACCCTCAGGCCACCCTCAGTTTACAATCCTAGTTGGATCTTCCGGAATCCCCAGAGACCTTAAGCCTGTGCCTTTCACTCAGCCTCGTTAACATACCATTTTGCAGAGCAGTTCATTCTACAAACCCTATTAAGCACCTACTGTATGCCTGAAACTGCTGGGCACTGGGATGACATAGTGAGTGAGTGACTTCCTGTACTCAAGGAATCCAGTGGGGGCAGAAGACAATTAGACAATGACCCGGTGTGGGGTGGGGCGGAGGGTGATCAGAGAAAGAGGGTACTCCAGGCAGAGGGAACAGCAAGTGCAAAGACTTGGAGGCAAAAAGAAGCATAAAATATGCCTGACTTTAGGTAGAGTGCTTGGGGCCAGGACTGGGGAAGACACACAGTGAATTATTGGAATCCCTAGGCAGCAAGCTGGTCCCCTCCACATGCCCCCTTGGGAGGCTTGTTTGCACCAATAAATAGTGTTGTTCCATTCTACAATTCAGACACACAGGTGCACAGCAACTGAACATCAAGTGTGAATTCCAGTCTCTGCTTGGACGTTGCTGGTGGGAGCTGAATATGAGGACATGATCTGCTCTATCCAGGAGACACTTCTCCCCTCCAACCCAGCAACCCACAAGTTTTCCTCTTGGAAACAGGCAGACATCTCCTGCTGCCTTAGTGAGGGCCAGCCAGGTGTGGGGTGAGCATGGGGCAGGTCAGAGGCATTCCCTTACTGCCACCCCCCCCCCCACTGGACAATCCCTAAACCTAAGAGGCCCAGGGTTCAAGGACAAGCCTCCTATATCCTGGTCCAGACCCCTGGGACTGAAGCAGCCTGAGGAGGGAGCGCCTCCTGCCTGGAGACCACTTTAACAAGCAGCCCTTCTGCCCGCCATGCTGGCCCAGCAAACAGGCTCCTGGAGAACAAGAGAAGGTCAACCCACCTCTGAGAAGACTCCTCCACTAGGACAGGGTTGCTGAGCCAAATTTTATCTCCTGTTCTCTCCAGAGGTACTAGAGCATCCATCTCCCCCCATCAAAACCGTTTACCCTGGTTTTTTTTATGCCTTTAATAAGAGGTGAATCCTTCATTGCGCCACCCATCTGTCAGCTGGTTGTCTTTGTGTCTTGCAGAGTTGCTGTGATGCTGGAAGCTATACCACCAGTATTTCAAATACCAGCACAGTCACCCATGGTGGACAGGCTTCTGTGGAGCCACCAGACTAAGAAAGACTAGAAAGAAAGGCCTGGCGATCTGCTTCTGAAAATTAGGCAATGAAAACCTTCTGGATCACAAAAAAACTGTGTTCGACTCACTTGCTTTGGACATATCATCAGGAGAGATCAATAGCTAGAGAAGAACATCATGTTTGGTGAAGCAGAGGGCCAACGGGGGCGAAGGAGACCCTTGGTGAGATGAATTGGCACAACAGCCTCAACGATGGACTAGAACATGCTGGCAATTAAAGATGGTGCTGGGCGGGGCAACATATTTTTCTGTTGTACATGAGGTCACTATGAGTCAGAGCTGACTCGCGGCATCCATCCGTCTATCCATCCAGCCACCTATTGCCTTCATTCCACAATTAGGAGCTGGCCTAAAATATAAACACCACCTGAGAAGTCCCACAGCAACCCAAACTCACACCAAGTGTGAATGACTGATAGTAGAGCTTTCTATGACTGGGTTTCTCTGGGACACAGGGCAAGAAGGGAAGGTAAGTGTCTGGGAGGCCACGGAGCATAAGGAGAAGCATAAAAAAGCAAGCTGAACATATCTAAAAACTAGCAAATCCTTAACTCACTCCAGAGGCAGAAGTAGAGATAACGGCAAACGAGGGACCAACCCACCGTCAAGGAGACCCTTGTGAACTTGGTCCCCCTTAGGGAGCGGTGGTCCCCTAGACCCTTAACTTCAGCCCCCAAACTCCCTTCACCTCATCCCAGGCGCCCCCTGCCCTCATTCTGTCCAGATCCCTCATTGAAAGTCTCTCTCCTCCCCCCAGTCAAAAACAGCTCGGACCTTCATTCAGTAAGATCCAGTTCCTGTAACGCTTCGGGGTCTGTGAAACCTCAGAGGCCTCACTAGATCTCTGATTCTCAGTGCCTCGTCTTACCTCCCTAGCAGAAGGCAGATGCTACCTGAATATTTATTGAGGGAAGAGTGATCAGGGGGAACGTGATCGGCTCTTCAAGCCTCTCCAGGTCCGACCGGCCAGGATGCTGTGCCCAGGCGCCCACAGAGCTCCACCCGGGTGAGCGCGAGGACTGCAGCTCCCGCTCGCGGCGCCAGGGGGCGCCAGAGGCCGAAGAGAAGACCCATCCGGCGGCGGCGGCGGCGGCGGCGGCGGCGGCGGGTCCGGGTCCGAGGTTCTGATGGCTTCCCTGCTGTGACCAAAACGCGTGCTCCCCCGAGGCGGGGGCTGTGGGACTACCTCCTGTCTGGAAACTCCCTGCTCGCCTCGCTTTACTGTGAGGTCACTCGGCCCGAGTGGGCCCGCCCCGTATAATTAAAGCCCTTGTACCTGAAAATAGCTGCAAAGCCATTTGGAAAGAAAACCTTTTTCAAAAAAAAAAAAAAGACTTTTTACTGGATTTCTTAACTTGCAGTGCAAAATGATCTCTCTCTTTTATTAAAGAAAACATCGGTTTCGCCAAATTCCATAATCTTGCATTAAACTTGTTTCCTTCATTCATCCAGTTAACGAGATGAAATCTTAAAATTCAACTGGCGCGGAGAGGGAGGGAAGAAACGGGCATTCATTTAGGTGGGCCCTGCCTCCTTCCCCTCAACTAGCTGAAATGCGTTGCCAGGAGGAAATAGGAGCTATTTAAGGGATGCCGGAAGGAGGCAGAATTAGCCAGAGAAGGGCCAGATGGGCGAAGTGAGGAACTCAGCTAGCGGCAAACTGAGGCAACGGGAGGGGGGAAGAAGTGCAAGAAAAGAAACAAGATAAAAATGCTTGGTAATATCTCTCCTGAGGTATATTCCAAAGAACGAATGCAAATAAAAATTAAAAGGTATGCACATAAAAACTTTGTTGCAACACTGTAACAGCTTTAATGGAAACAGTCTGTGTCCAGTCCACAAGTAGGGAAGTCGGTGCATCCACTTGGTGGAGTGGGACATAGCTTAACGAGCAGGAAGTGTTAAGGCGACCAAGGAAATATGATATGAGGTGGAGTGAAAAGAGAGAAGTACCAAGTGGTTAGACTACAAATACAGTT